GACACGGGGTGACATTCAGGGCCTGCTAGAAGGTACTGGCCTGATCTTGTAATATAATCAGATTATCCTCTTACTTTCAAGAGTAAGTGGCAACTCTATTCCACAGGTTTCAGTATCTTCACCGTTCTTACTGGCCCTAAGGCAGTACAGGTCTTCGAGATCATTATTGCTATGTAACAGTGCACTCCTTTAAATCATCTGAGAGACAAGAATGCAATGAATCTTTTGGTATGCAACACAGATCTGTAGTCAGGATATTCTTCCATCATCTCACTGGTCACCCATATGGACCAAAATAGCTCAAGTCTGAAAACCTTCTGACATACTCAGAGTCCTTTTTGAAACAGGCCATCTCGTGTGAGGGAAAGGGGGCCTACAGATATTTTGATGACACGGACCATATCTTGCACTGTCACTTTCGTGACTGGCAGTTCATGTGCAAGAATTTAGGAGTTTTGTTTTACATGCTTATCAGTGCTACTTTTAACTGCATATATGCATATAAATGCTTACGGTGCATATAACTCCTATGTCAATAACCTGTTCTACCTTGAGTACATATTTCCTTTTGCAATAGAAAAGTGTCGTGTACATTTTTTTAAACACACTAGATTTTTTTGAGAACTTTCAGTTTTCACCCTGCTTAACAATCTAGAATCATCTACTGTGTAAAGCCAAAGATTCACAGACCCTCAGGAGAATGCTAATGCATAAACGCACACCACAAATCAATCAGAAAGAAGAGTGACTAACTGCAAATTAAGGTTTAGATGAGTAGTTACTAACAAAGAAACAGCCACAAAGCTCAAATATTCACTGAATACTAATTCTGTTTTAAACTCTACTTGTAATGAAATGCAATCTTCCCAGACAATCAGCTTTTTACTACAGAGCAATATTTTAAGCATGCACCATCTACAAATTATCTCATCTTTTAAACACTTGAACACAGAAACAAATAACTGCAAAATAGCAAGACATCTCGACAGCAGCTCATCTATTGTATGACTTCACTCATCTCATGATGAGTAATTCCCCAGTCAGATTTCCATTTTGAAGCACCAATGGATTTTGTTACTGTCTCTTCTAGTTCAATCTTTCTTACATTAACATCATAAAATGGCTCTAACTGCCTACTTGAGAACAGACTCGACTTTACGAGGATTTATGAATGTAAATTTGAGTGAAAAATTACCCTTCCCAAGCCAACACCAACAGATAACACAGCAATGCAACTAGTTTTGCTACATAGCAGTAGTCAATAGTCCAGATCCTGGTCTCCGTTTTGTCAGCAATGATCTGATGCACTGAAGAAAATGAAGCCGTTTCTAAGTTTCCATCCAAAATAAATTCTGTCCCACTCTCTCTTTTGTCAATTGGTAAATTTATTTAAGCAGCCTGTACTGAAAAGACAGGGCACCCCTCATCCTAAAACAAAGGCCAGTGAAACTAGGAGTCCTTCTGCTGACTTCCATGGCCTTTGGATTAGGCCCTAAACGAGAGAAATTAGAACACCAGGAACGATTATATCCTAATTAGAACGATCTCATTGACACTCAGACAAACCTTCATTGCTCAATAGGAATAGAATCAAGCTAAGTCTAACATCTGAACACTGCTATCTTGGATATTATTTGACAATCAGTTAGACATCACTTAACATACACTACATGATAGACAAATGAGAATCTAATAACTTTCTCCAAACACTGGATTACTGTTACTTGAAAAACTTTAAAATGCACAATCTCACTGCAATTACAATAGTCTCTAATTAGTATATTCTTTTAAATTCAAACTGTGTACACCTGTAGAAAGTATTAACAAACAAATACTGTTCAAAGAACCATACCAGACTTTTAGAACACTGACTATTCTGGGGTTATCACATAAGGAAGTGGTCCTGTAGCAAGCAGCCTCAAGCAGCAAAGAGGAACACCACTGTAGATGTAACCCACTGTCTTCTAAGCAAAGATGCTTTTGAGCTCTGATACATAGATGGTTATTGCAACTCATACGGGATTGAAAAGTTAAGTACTTGTACTGTAATACAGTTTTGGAAGAAAAGAAGGTGTATTCCATGTTGGCTTTAGAGAATCCGCATTAATTTGTGAATTGATATTTGCACAAGGAAGGAACACATGAAAACAAATGCAGATGCAGAGCGAATAAAGCAAGCTGAAAAGATATGTTGGGGATATGCCTTTCATAAAACATTTATGTATGTCATGATACATTCAGGTATTTAACATTAAACATTTAGAAAGGCGTCCCATGGTTAAGGCTCCTCTGAGATTTTTCCTTAAAATATTTTCAGTTTGAATGTCACTTACTAGATTCCAGCTCATTTCTATGGCAGAATTACTAGTCAAGAGGACAAATGGATTCTCCTGTGAGCCTCTGGAGAGGGTGACGTTCTTCCACAGAAAACTATTCAATCATTCATTTCCAAATGCCATGCAGGGAGTCCACCTTTCTGCCACTCCCTAGTTAAACATATTTATTCTCAATGCTTTTATGGGTCAGGAAATTTCCTCAGGAAACATCAACGCTAAAAATTGGTCATACTGGTTTGGTCTCTAATGAAGACTACTGAGAATGGTCAAATGAAAGTGAACGTTTGGAGAAAATCAAGTCTACTCGACAGGAAATTAACAGCAATCAAATGTCAGACTCTGAAGGGAGAGGGGATGTTAGACCTATGGAGTTAAAAAAGAAACCTCCCAAAACCAGAGCAAAAATACATACCAACCTTCCTTCAGTTGGGTTCTATTTAGTCCTCAGCTATGACACATTTTTCTGTGTCTCATATTAACTTGAGAGTCAGCCCTAAGTTATTTTTATACCCACAAAAATATATCCTCAAAATGATAATGCCCTGAATGAGTAATATTTCAATGCAATTGATTAAGGACACCTCTTGCACTGTTAAATGCCTGAAGATGCTAGCCAGACATTTCCTTTGTAAATTACCAGATAGCTCATGGAAAGTGAGCAGGCATGATAAATGAGCTGTAGTAAATTTTCTGTAAATTTTCTAGACTGCACTTTTTAACAGATGTATTTACACATTTCACATTCTACCAGTAGAGATGATGCATGTTACTGAAATGTTAGATGAAATGTTATCAAATAGAAGTCTCTCAACAAATTCCCATCGTGCTGACTATTAAGATCAGCCTGTCGTGTAATTTTTCATGTTATGTCCTCAGTCAAGATTTTTTTAAGCTACTGTTACTATTTCAATTATCCTTTTCTTATCAATACATGAAAAGTACATATTTACGTGAAAAATGAAATTGCAGAATGCCTACCGAGATACTTGTGCCACTTAATTTTTCTAAAACACTTAATAAGCTTATGTAATAATATATATATATAAACCATATAAAAATCCTAAAATCTGATCCCATCTCTACTTTACATTGCTCTTCAAAGGGCTCTCCCTTTCAGACGATAGCAGAGAATTTTGTCTTGCCTGAGCCAGCTGCTCTTTATCACAATGTCCAATTTCCCTTAAGCAGTTTGATGATGAGAATTAGGCACTCCCGTGCCACTGGTTGGTAACACCTCGAGGTGTTACCAAGCTGCTATCAGTGACAGTGTGACCTCAGGTAGACACTTCAGAGAAATAGAAAGAGATTTCTGGGGAAGTTGTCATTCCTCTCTGCTTTGCTGGAGAGAAACTAATGTAGCCCATATCGTTCTGGACCATTCACACCTGCTGTACCACAAAGCAGCATGTTGGGGTACACTGGGGCAGATGTGGTGATAGCATGAAGAGACATATCGTTCCTACATAAGCACAACCTAAGGCAGTGCAAGCCTTGTCAGATAACCTGGCCCAGGCACACCCAAGGCCCCATGAACATGCAATACGTCCGGCTCCAAGAACTGTCGTAGGCTGTGGAGTCCCACCATGCAACTCAAGATATCTTACCGGTGTCTGTGACAAGGGTGGCGCTGTAACGCCACTTGAATAGGGAACATGCTTGGCTCAAAATCCTGCTCATAGGGCATTCAAAGTCTTAATGGATTAATAGTATTGTATTTATTAAGTCTGATGGTTACTGTTTCCTCATGGATGCATGGCAGTAACAGCTAATGCATTCAGATACAGAATTTTGTTGCAGCACCTTCTGAATAGCAACCATACAATGATACCACCACAATCCAGGTCCAGCAGAGCTCTTGCAGATCGTGCATCTTCAGTGATGTGTCAGGCTCAGTGCACTTCACATACACAAAACCCACAAATATTAATCTGGCGGTGCTACCGTAATCACGCTGTTTCTTTATATGTTAATGGCTGTTCACATCTCCAAAAACATTTACGTTCATTTATCAGCATCTTGGATATAAAGCTCTCCGAAACAGTGTTTTGGTCAAGGGGCTTATAATTGCCCAGGCTACGATCAGATGAGTTTCCTTACATGTCTTTAGGGAGAGCTGAGCAATTAGCAGGAAAAAGAACCAAAAAGCCCACACTCCACAAATGTAACTTACACTAAAAGTGATTTCTGATTTGACTGCCTGTGATACATTTTCAGTAACTTCCTGAAAACCTTCAAGCTTCCAAGGTTTGCTAGCACAAATACCACACTGCAACTAAAGCTTCCGTGTTAGATCTTTTCCTCAGAATAGATTTTAAGTTGTTTTCAATTCTAATATCTACATTTCACACCGCACTTGTTAGTCACTTGTTTCATGTACTGAGGAAACAGCACCAATTTTCTAAGATTTAAAAATCACATTTATTAGTAGTATTTTCAAGAACTTTGCACACAGCATTTGAAACTCCAGAACTATTTATTAAAAGAAATGTGTGGATAACTCTGGATCATGGAGTTTCTGAATAGCAGGGGCTTTGGAGACAACTTGTGCACAAACCAAAAAGTAGAATATATTAATAACTAGAAAACCTGTTTAAATCTAATCATACATCTAAAAGCACATATCTCTTAGAAATTTAAAAATGGGGAAATAAATTTTGCTCCTACCTCTTCCAAAGCCCATAATGAATCAACCACAGGCTTAATCTTCTTATTGTTATATAGACTTAGGAGTTTGTCCATCACGCTCTTGATCAGGCCACCTCGATTCTGTTTGAAAAGTAGATTCAAGAGGGAAAATCCAGCAATGACTTTGTTCTCCTCATACAGCTTGATAGGATTTACTTTCTCAACCTGCCACCACTGGAAAGCAATAAACAACAGCAGGGTTAGAGAAATGCTTTTCAAGAAATACACAGGAAAGTTCACAAGAAAACTGTCTGGGCAGATGTGACACACGACTCATCTGTCAGATCTGAAGCAACAGCCAAGAGAAGCAGTAAGGATTTTATTTAAGGTAGAGACAAAAAAGCATGCAGCTGACTGACATGTGGAAATAAAACACAGACTTGCGTTGCATGAGATTAGGGCGTTAGAGAACAGAACTGGGTTTAGGATGTGAGTCTAGAAGCAAGGAATTTGGACCTCCCTTCTTACTCGTGCTATCCTTCTCTGTTACCTCAAGAGAGCCATGCAAGCTTCCCAAACATTTGCAAGCAACTCTTGACTATTACTCTTCTTGAAAACAAGTAAATCATGCACTGCTTATCAGCTTCCACTCACTTTTCACCCATTATTATGTCTGTGATATTTGAGTAAGCCTCATAATATCTAATGAAATTATTTTCTCTCATTTAGCTCAAGAGCATCCTTGAGACTGAGATCCCACTTCCTAGAAAGTTTTATTTGAATGGGTCAATTTTTAATTCAAATTTTCATACAATTTTGATGAGTTAATTTTGCAGTATAATTACATAAAGAAACTACATCATACAAAATTTTTATGCTATTTTTTATTAATTCAATTTATTCATATTTATTTAGTCAATAAATACCAGTACTATCTGAAAAACATTTCAGGTGAAATTGATTTTGTCAGGCCAATCTACCCTATAATTGTACGTATCTGGATCTGTTTATACGAACAGTAAAAAGGCTGCAGAGTAAAGATTATCTTGTTTTCATTCAAACAGATGACAGTAACAAAAATCGTGCCACTACAACCATTAAGAAAACGTAGGAGGCAAAGAACAGCTTCTTGCTGCAATCTTTGATTTAACTTCTTTTCCACTACATAGAGACTTTTGAAGCTAATTTCTCCTGGGAATGGGCTGGTGTTGGAAGTTGTAAATGAGCTCTTGGCAGAAAGATCATATGATAGATCTTCAGTCAAGACTTCTCCCTCTGTTCTCATCTGAAGGAATCACTTTCACTGCTGGTTAACTTATTTCTCACTAGCACTTTATTTGATGTACTTCTCTCTTTTTTGATCTCTAGGATTTCTGAGATTTTTGTTGTTGTAGTAAGCTGAAGAAAAAAAATTAACATTTGAATTTTGGATTTGTTGACATCCTTAATCAGGAAACAAATGCAACATCATCATCTCTTTGATGTCACTTGAAATGAACACAGAACTGAAAAATGCATTTCTGTATGGAACTAACTTCTGAAAAGCTGGAAATGACTGGACACAAGCCCCATCTTAAGAGAGATATCTCTTAATATCTCCTTTAATTCACTGCACAGTCCTGACAATGTTTTCAGATATGAGAAACCTACAGGGTACAGTTATCCATATCCATGAATATGACATTCTGTCATAAGTAAATAAATAATGCAGTTTAAACTTAGCTGTATGAGATGTATGTCTGACAACTAACAGTTTAAACATGCATTGCACACAGATCCAATTCCTGCCTAGCTGTCGCATCAGAAGAAAACATGTCAGACCACATTGCCATCAGAAAAACACTCTTCAACAACATCAGAAGTAATAACTTAGTACAGAGTTAAACGAGAATGATAAAGATGAAAATGCTACAGAAAAGACTGAAGTTAGAGGAAAGAGCAGAATCACAGCACTGGGAAACTTACTGATTTTGCAAAACTGAAGAAGCTTTTTGTCTCGCCAGTGACCATGTTAGATGAACCTGTAAAAGATGAACACATTCATATGGAGCTTATTACATGCTGACAAGCAGACCATTTATTATATGTAATATAATCACGGTCCATATCTAAAGGAAAGAAATTTTCCCCAGGTTTAAAAATGGATTAGTAGACATCCTTGTACTTTGGGAATAAATAACAAAGAGGCCAAGGTGACTGAGCCCTACAACTTTATAGGTATTCTGAGATGACAAAAACAATCTATCGAATCTTCCAATCTTCCAAAATCAGGAACAGGTTAAGTGCTACTAGGCATCTGGACACCGAAACTCTCCTCTAGCTCTCTTTCTCTGCAGTAAAATGCCATTTGGCTCTGACACGCTTGTTCGGCGGCGATCAGCGCACAGGTGTGCCTTCTCTGTGTCTGTACAGATACATTTACCTGACTACACGTGTGAACGTACACGTATGGTACACTACAACCTGTTAACAAACACGGTGACAATTCACTGGCAGACACTCCATTACAAACAGGCAACCAGGTTGGCTTGTACAGTCCCAGTACATCCACCCCGCCAGCTAGATGAAAGCCCCAGGAGGCAGGTATGCTGCTCCATGATGCCACTGCACCTTCCACTGCAACACAGATATATTCTTCACTTCAAAAGCTTAGCAATCCCTCCAGCTGCCCTCCTCCAGAAGCCTGGCTTGCTTTATCAACACACAACATGGTAACCTGGCAGAAAAGACGTGTTTTCTTGGTATGTGGAGCAGCCCATATACACGAATGGCAATTTGTGAACAGAAGCCTGGGCTTGAATTCCTCAAAGTCACATCAAATAAGAACTACAGCATTCTTCCTGAAATCTTCCTCCAAGCTTCCCTCCCACAAGAACTATATTACAGTTTCCTTGGCCACACTGTGATTCCTATGGTGTGTAGAATGAGAGATCCAAGCTTTCTCCTACACTTCTCCTGTATCATCCAACGATGCTGAACAATCAAAAACATATGTTCAGTTTCACTTTTGGATTTTTTTTTTAAGAGTTTCTTTGTATTGCCTATTGTTTCTCAATAATTTAGTCTATGCTCAGATTCACTAAAAATCCTTGATTGGAAACAGTCAAATTGAGAATGTATAACATGGAGGCCTCCAGTTCTGGAAGGAGCGGCATGGGTGATTTTAGGAGATTATAAGCTTTGCAAAGCTTTGGTTTTGAAATACGCACCTGGCTTTTTCCACTCACCATATAAAATATAAGTCCCAAGTGGTTTAAGAAGACTGAGGCCTTTCCCAGTGTTTTCTCCACAAAGACAGTCCAAAACAATATCTACTCCATCTGTCGAGATTCTAAAAGGCAAGAAAGAAATCTCACCTTGCATTAAGATCCACAGCACCGGTCAGCTGGCGTAACACAGGCTAGTTGTTAACATACTACTAACATTTTCCAGGTACTTTAGAAAGGACTCTAAGGCTGAGGCTTTGACTACATGAAAACTTTCTCCTCCCAAAAGACAATTCAAACTCATTCAATGCTGGAATGCAAGTTTGTTGGGCTAGCCAACCCACGCCTTTCAGGCTCGGAAGAATAAGAAACCATCTTGTTCCCTCTTTTTGAGGGCTCTTGGTCAAATTATATTATCAAAAAACAGGTGATAGATGTCAAGTTCTTTCTGAGTGAATGCAAATGTCAGAGAATGTCTATTTTTGGTCAATGAATGTCAAAGAAAAAAAGACATTTTTGTTATTCACATCTTCCTATATTCTTTTTCTGAATTCATAAGGAAACAGATCTTCTTACCCTAGTTCTTCTTCTCAGATAAAATGATGTCTTAGTAAAGTTAAAGATTCTTCTCTTTCAGACTTTGTGTCAACTAGGTGTCAGTAGAGAATTAAATCAAGCATAAATAGAAGCCACCAAGAGCTAGAAACCCAGCTTAAAGGATACAATCAGGCCACGATATAGAAAGAAAAGAAGTATTTATACTGTTTCAGTATATAGTTTGCATATTTATAATTTTCCAATAACTATCTTTGTGAATGCAATGCCAATATGATGCTGAAGAAGAAAAAAAATACACCCAAATATCCTGATTTAATTCTTTTTTTCTGGCAAAACATCAGCCTGTAAAATCCTATCATTGGTTTGATCTAAGTCTAATATCCTACTTGCTAACCAAGTAACCAGCCCAAGCAGTCGTCCATCCTTGATCAATACTCGTAAACAATTATGCAAATAACTAGTCCAGACACTACAAGAAAATTGCAGCCTGGAGACTATCAAAGGTCTAAGGGACAGTCAATAGCATCAAATCCCCAGGAACATCAGTTAGCTCCTGATGACCATGCCTTCTGCAGTGGTGTAACTGCAATTCAAAGTCAGGAAAGATGTAAAGCTTTATGGCTTGTAATGCATCTTTCGGGTTTCCTCACAACACAAAGGTGATTCTCAGACACCCACTGTTTACAACCAGCAACAAAACGAGACAACTTCACTCGTCAGTACTGCTGCTGTACATAGGGTAACAAATTGTTTAAATTCAGGCCACTGGATGAGTTGTCACTGCAAATGAGTAATGACTTTGCAATCGAACAGCTTTTGGCGGCTTTCACAGTTGAACTGATTCCTCACTCCCTAGAAACATTTCCACATTCATATCACCTCTGGGATTTTTTTTGTTTGTTCATTTGTTTCAGGTTTTGGGGTTTGGATTTTTTCTTGGGCTTTGTTCCCTGATGAAAACTCTTCCCTGGAATACCCCAGCCACCTGCAATAAAGCAGGTTCCTACTGCTATCCTTTCTCAGCCACGGGCCCACCCTTTCCTGCTTACAAACTCTCAACAAACGAAGAGCCTTCCCCTTCTCTTAGGGCTCCCCCAGACCCACTGTGCAGCAGGCACATGCAGATCAACTGTCTTCCCTGCTGGCCAGCCAAACATTTTGAGCAGAACATAGCATACAGCTAATATCCAGCAAACCAAACTACTACACTGTTCCGCCCACTGCCTCTTTCGAAAGACAATTTGTCTTTATAGCACTCAGAATTGCCACTATACATTTTTATTTTTTCAATGAAAAGTGAAAATACACAGATCCAAACAACAAATCAGAGTACTGGCATACTCTACAGAGTGCCAATTCTGACTTTTAATCAGAACTATCAATTGTGCTGATACTACGCATCTCTATACCAGGAGAGCAGCACAAACTCGCTTGTTGCATCTACATTTTATCTTTTGTACCCACTGGTTCTCTGCCTCATTGGTCTGCTGTGAGGTGACAAAGTATGTGAAAATGCAGGATCACCAAAACGGATTTTAACAGACTTAACAGAGCAGAATTCCACCCCTTCGTAACCAGGTCTCCTTTTCATTTCAGTAGTTACGGCCTGTTACACAGAGTCAGGGGTGGTATCAGGGAACTATCCCAAAAAGTACTGCTCTGATGAAGAGCAGGAGCAGGCAACGTTATCTGCAATCATAAAGTTATCAGAAGTTAAAGAGGCTTTACTCCTTTTTCTAAGCACACACATCTCATACCCACTTAGATCAGATCTTCTGCTGCCACTGCCAAGAGTCAGGATTAAGGTTGCTGCTGAACTCTGATTAATGTTTTCAAGTGTTCTTGCTAGCTGAATCAATGTTTGTTAAGTGAGGATTGCTAGAATTCTGTCTTCATCTCACTACAGCAGTTTTCCAGGGCCAGTAAAACACTTAGGTATGTATACTTCCCCAAGAGAAAGGCTACCAAAGGGCTGAAGAAGTGTGTTGCAATTCTTCTGCGCTGTAAGAAAATGATGGAGGTGTCATCTGCTGGACAAGTTTGGTGAAACTTCCCATAAGGAAAATTTTTCCTTTGATATAACATGTTCTTTGTGACGGATCATTTCAAACGCTCTCTTAAGCCCTTGGGAGTGCTCTGGAATCAGTAGCAGGACACTGCTTTCTGTTCCAACAGCACCCTGGATTGCCAATGACCCAGACAAAAGTCCGCTCTGTACTGAAGGCCCTCTTTGAGGGCTAGCAACCCTCGTGCGAGGAGACCTTCTCAGACTTTGCACGTCACTGAGGAATGTGTAATTTCGACAGGAAGCCTGTCAACTGTACTGCCTTAGGGGGTGCCTTTGAGAAATTTCTTGTTTTGTGCCCAGCTACATAATCTAGTATTTTGAGAGATACAAGATAAAAGGAAAACATTATTCTTACCTGTCTGACAAGTAAAATCAAAAAGACATTTTTTTACTAAGATTTTCTTATCAAATCTAAAGTTTTGCCACCTGTAGCAACATAAATATCTAAAAACAGACAAATTGGAAAACAAAGTATTTGAAAGCATGTAAACAGAAACAGACATGATGATTTCAAAAGGCAACAGGATGATTCTAATCTGAATGCAAACAAACAAAATCTGAGGATCTGAAATTAAAACTGACATCACGTGCTCTGATATCAATCCCTGGCAGAGGACAAAAACCCAGGCAGATAGAATCATACCAGAGAACTCCAAAACCTCCTCCACTGAAAATATCTTAGTGCATTACAGCGAGCTACTACATATGCAGATCGTAGCAAAGTACATCCTTCTGGTAAGACCTCTATTCTTTTTCACTCAATCTCCTTTGCTCGCCACAGATGTCCAAGTATGAACATGGACTAACAAAGCTTATGTTGCTTATAAAAAAAAGTAGGGAGATGCTTGCTGTCTTGTCCCCTGTAGTGGACAGATGGAATATCTGGAATAAACTACAGTTCCTAAACTCACAAATGTAATCTCTTACCATAAATATCATCAGTCTGGTATCTTTGATAGTATTTTGCCAGATACTATACAACTCTTACTCAGGAAAATAAAAGATTACCTTTTTACTTCTTGAACATAGTCTGCATTTCTGTCAAACAGGTGAGTTACTGAGTCTTTGATTGCTTCATGTTTGAAAGATGAAGCTGTTCCAAAAACAGTAACATTGGGAATAGTTGAACAGAGCTGAGCAACGGCTTGACCCTGCAAACACATTATCATGTTAGTTCACTGACATGGAAATTGGTTGACAGACTTTGCAGCTGCCAATTCACTCATGACACATCGAAATCCAGCATCAAACACGCGCAAGGACTTCCCAAACTAATTTCTTGCCAGTGCAATGCAGTTCAGAAAAAAATACACTTAAATCAAAGGCAGTGTAATTTAAGAAATGGCATTAATTTACAAGGACCACCAAAAATGATTACTCGGAGTGCCAGAGAAACATTACTCATTTGCTACTTGCACTCTATGTGCATTTCCCCAGAGCCCCTTGAGCAATGTCAGCAGTCCTCTTTGCACTTCACACCTCAAACAGTGTTGATGATTGCCTCTGCACACGATTCAGATCCTCTCTGCTCACACGGAAGGCCTTGCAGCACCTGATGCCAGAACAGGATTTCTGGCAGATACTATAAGAGTACTTTGCTCCTCTGGTACTTGGATACAGCTTTTATGCCTCAGGTTTTTGCAGTCCTAATACAGGTGGTCTAGTTTAGTCAGTCCCACAACAGCATGTAGTCTACCATTTCTAAGCGATCCTATTTTCTTATGGTTTCAGTGGGAGACAGCAGGTTGGTATAACAAATACTGCACAGCAAAGCAAATCTGGCTTACCTGTTATTAAGAGCAATAGTTATTACTGGTTGTTCAAAATGCAGGAATAGCCTTGAGTCTGCTTAGGGCAGTGCCTCAACCTCAAAACTGATCAACAGCCAAAGGGATAAAATGGCCTAGAGCCTGTATAGGAAAATCAT